CATGCACACAATGGTAAAAGCATGTCTAGACTAGCATCATATGTCAAAAAACCACAAATACTTTACTCAAATGTTTAATTCTGGAAAGATTTAAAGATATGTGCCATCAGCAGAGCCTTGTAGGCCACAGACCTCTATGGATGATGGGACCAGATATCTATTAAACATCTGGTAGCTTTCGTTCTGTGGAGCAGAACAGGCATGTAATATTAACTGCTGGCCTGGGAGTCGTCCTTTATTTCTGAAGAACTGGATGTGGCAAGCGACATTTCATTACAAATGAACACAAATCATCATATCAGGAAAAAGTTTTATTTAAAATGTTAATTACTACAGTAAGTGCAACCAACATAAATTATACAACATAGGTGAACTGTTTGTGCAGTTTCAAAGGAAAAAAAAATATAGCACATTTGGCACTAGAATTCTCATATTTTCCTACACTATGGTATTTGCATTACTGGCACTGACATATAGAACAGCACTGAAAATGGTGACCACATAAAAGATGCTTTAATCCCCGAGCTGCAGGAGCCGCTAACAAAGACACTGATGGTGTACAAACTGTTTTGTTAATACTTTGCAGTGCTCCACAATATTTTTATCTCTTCAAAAAGCAAAGATACCTACAAAAGTATAAATTCATACAGTGACACTTTATCAGCTAGAAAACAGGAATGGTGTAGTATCTTTCTGTTTTTCTTTATGCCTACTTGGGGGGAAATTAGCATGACTCATGGAGTAATGATGTATACCACAACTTCCAACGACAGTGTAAGCCAAATAACTCCAAATTAAGTTTTTATATTGTAACCAACTAAACACGATGATATATCAACTTACAAAAGCTTTTTGTCTTGTTTAAAATAGGAATTCTGACACTGAAGTTGAATAGTTTCAAGTTTCTATGAAGCCAGCTGGCTCAGTTAGAAAGTTCAAAGCTACCACTTCTAGAAACATTTTGTACAAATTCAGATGAAAACACTTGTGCTGTGCAGTGGGCAGAAGAATTGTACAGACCAATGAAAAATTCCTCTTTTGAGATAAAGCTCCAGTTCCACAGAACTAGTTACCATTCCTGGTAACGACATAAAGCTATGAGATATCAGCCCTTAAACTTACTAGTTCAGCACCAGTTCTCTTATTCCGGAATCAAGAAAGAGTAATTTTGTTTAATAGAAGTTTCTCATGGGGTATTGCCACAGTCCCAGTATACGCTGGGATAGGCTACACTGGGCATGCTGCTTCTTTCACTCCATTTTGCATTCTGCCTACAAATATGTGTTCACCACTTTCAACCACCAGTCCTCTGACCAGTGCCTAGATAACATCTCTCGAAAAAATAACAAGAAAAAGGACATCACAGGAGTATTTGATCTTCGGTATAACAAACATATGGATACTATTTAGCCATGAAACAATACCTTATTTAAGGTCAGTTATCTCATAATCATCATAGGAATAGATACATATCAGTGGAAAGACAGTACTTCCAGTTTTGCTGTTTGTTCTTGGCCCTTAAAAGACCTCACACTTCAAATCTTAACCATGGAGGTGTATTTTAAGATAACCTTTAAAGTTTTTAAGAATAGCCTAATTTTTAATCCCCCCCCACACACACACAGTTTTTCATAGTCAGATTTATGCTTTTTCAGTTTGGGGTAAAAAAAAGATTACTATTTCTCAATTGTGCATTAAAAATTTTATTGTGTGATTGGATAAGGAAACAAGAACTACTGCAGCTGCGAAGCTCCTATTCCAAAGTAGGAAAACAAATGTGGCATCCTTCATCAGAACAGATGTGTTCCTAATGTATTTTGAATAATAACTTCCTACTTGAATTGAAAAAAAAAAATCAGCAAAAATCCCATTGTATTTGTTTATTTTGTTTCTGGTATAAAATATTTCCAGTATGAGAACAAGTGTGTGATGAACTCTTTTCTTAAGAATCACTAGGAAAATTTTTTTATTAAATTCCTGTCACTTATAATTCCCCAAACCCAGTGAAAATAATAATGTTGGCTAAGTGTCAGACAGCATAAATCAAAAGCAATACATAAGACACAATTTGACTTAAACCTTTAGTATTTGGAATGACACATGACTAGAAAAAGATCTATGGTGCTTCTACAGGAAGGACAGTTCATAAATTGCCCTTATAAGCTTGAGCATGTTTCAAAAGAAAAACCCAAAGGAACAGAAAATAAGCATACCGTTATACAGAACGGTTTTCTAAAATTTCACTATTTAAAGTACACCACAGTGAAGCAAATTTGCTGGGGAGAAAAGTCACTAGTCAGTTAGGCTTTGCTCAGATTTAAAGAAAACTTTGAGAGCCAGGATGTCTTCCCTTGCTCTGTAGTGCCTTTGAGAATGAGGAAACAAACACACAGTCTTTGTAGGGTGAAAAAAAACCCCTCTACTTTGTCCTGAATATTAGACGTGATGTGATAGATACTGAAAAGAAAAAAAAGCTGGCAAGTGAAAACATATTCAATAAGGAAGAGAGCTGAAAGGTCTGGATTCTTAATGCATGGACTTTAGAATCTTGAACAAATGCTGGATGGGCTTCTTTCATAACCTGGGAAAACAAGAAAAAAGTCTAGCAAAAAGTTCCTCCTGTGAAACTTACTACTCAGATTTATTTCAGGAAAAAAATACCTTATTAATCAAGCATGTACTGCTCAAAATAAAGCAGTTACAAATAATCAAAACAGAAACTTCACTCAAGAAGCAGACAAACTTCTGTCCAGTCTCAGAAAACAATACAGGGACAATTTAGGACACAATTTTAAATGAAGTTAATCTAAAAACATGCTTGTTTGATGACAAGATAGAGCACGTCTGCAGAAGTTAGCAAGTTCTGGAGTTTGACAACTCTGATTTCCACCATTTATGCTTCCAAATTTTTAATTTTGGATGCAATATACTATGATGCCTTCCCCTATAAGTAGATTTTTGGATATAAGTACCTAATCTTTCAGGTACTCTTCTAGCTTATCAAGATTGCCTACACAACTGTCATTTCTCAGCAAAAAAAAAATCTCTGGCTTTAAATTTCATGATCCCCTTTAACCAGCTCACCTTGCCGTAACCATATTCCAGCACATTATTGTTCACACCGGGTTTTCCCAATAAGCAAGTCATAATTCAGAGCTGCTCACTTGATTTTAGAAGATATTTTCAAAATTCATCCAGATTATCTAAACTATCATCATCCTGCCCCAAATAGGACTTTTTACACCAGCACAATGCAGTTGCCACTACAAAAAGATTCTTCTTCATAAGACCCAGCCTCAGCTAACTACAAGAGCTAAGAATTAAGATGCTCATAGTGATGTTCCTTTGACCGAGCCAAGCCTTATCGCTTCTCTTCAAGGTTTCTTCAGACTGCCAGTGTGCTCCTGAGGCAAATCTGCTGATCACCTCCATGCACAACACTGTGCTTCATGCTCTAGAGCAGGTTTAGAGCACACTTCATTATGTCCACTGCTAAAAAGCAGAACCAAATCAGAGTTACCTCAAAGTAACACCTCTCCATGAAAGCAGACAACAGGGACTCCGCACAAACTACCATACCATACTACCTGCTCATGTTGACATTGCCACTAAAAACAAAGCTTCCTCGAAAGCTATCTAAATTCTGCCTTCTAGTAAGAGAAAGGGGCATGGCATGGCTTGTACACTGCTTTAGTCCAGAAGTGTATGCAAAGTGTATTCAGTTGGATACAATTTCACCTAATGACACACTTTCCAATGCATTTATTAAATCTGCAACTTGATATTTTGGGCATTATCTTCCTTCTCTCGTCATCCTTGACAGCCCCACGTAGCCTTCATATCTAGGCATTTCTTCCTGCCCTTAGACACTTATTTACCCCCACTGGCAATATTTTAGGAAAACAAAAACTGCTAACAGGAAAGAAAGGCAAGTCATTGAATGGATGGGTACAGAGTCTGTTTTGTTTTCAGTATACTTTCCAACACGCTCCTTTCAGTCTGAAGTTGTGTGCTGCTGAGAGAGTAGGTTCTTCAAAATGGGATTTATTTTAAAGAGCATCTTAATCACCCTGACGAGAGCCAGAGCTATGTTCAACTGCATCTTCACGGGCAGCTTTGTCAGGAACCTAGCAGGCAGGATAGTGCGGAGAAAGAATGAAAATTCATCCTTTGACGTACGATAGGTGGCTTGGTCCTCCGATTGCCGTTTACTTAAAACAAAACAAAGTCCTTAATCTGTGGCAAACCGTAAGTATTGCTTTTGGCAGGTTTCTAAGCACAAGCAAAAAAAAAAAAAAAAAAAGAAGGGGGGGGAGACGAAAAATCGTTTATTTCTGTTCCCTTCCCCCTCCCCGATGCGCAGCTCTATCTGCAGCCCATGTGGCTGGGAGGCAGCCACAGCCGGGTCCAATTCCTACTTTTCCACTTTGCCGCC